AAAATATTATTACTATACTAGTTTATTTACAAAAAGAACAGATTCTTCCAATATCCTGCATGACCCACCCATCAAATTGTACAACCCCATGATTGATCTCCCCTCCCCTTTGCACATTCTCATCCGTCTGCTTCCAAGCCTCTCCGGTTGCCTCCTTATACTCATTCTACAATAATGGTTTTGTACAATATTCATCGTTGTGGGACTGAGTTACTTCACTCAGCATAATGCTCTCCAGTCCTTCCAAGTTAGATAATAATTTATAAGATCATTGCTCCTGCATGTTGCATAGTATTCCATTGTGTAAATGTACCATAATTTCTCAATCAATTCATTTGTGTTTGGCTATTTGGGCTGTTTCCATGTTTTTGTGATCATGAGTAATGGTGCTATGACCATAGAAGTCTCCAATTGTATCTCCATTCTAATTTTTTAAGGCTGTATTCCAAGTAGTGGAATAGCTGGATCATACAGAATTTCTATGTTCAGATTTTTGAGGAAGTGCCAAACTGTTGTACCATTTTATGATTCCACCAACAATGTATAAGAGTCCTTTCTTGTCACATCCTCTACAGCATTTATGATTTGCTGCTTTGTTAACCTTTGTAACTCTTACTAGAGTGAGACGGTACCTTATTGTGGTTTTAATTTGCATCTTTCTTATTGCCAGTGATTTTGAGCATTTCTTCATGTGTCTGTTTGCCATTCCAATATCTTCCTGTGTGAAAATTCTTTCCATATCTTTTGCCCATTTTGTAATTTTGATAATGTTTAACAAATGAAATTTGTTTAAAATTATAAACATTCAAAAATACATTTTCTTAGTTTTACCATATACACATGGGTGTATGCATACACAGAGAAAAAGTGAAATAGCTTGCATAATATCTAGTTGGACAAATCTAAACACATATTAAATCTATGGAACTCCAAGATTTTTTGTTTTTGTTTCTTTTTTAGTTTGTTTACTTGTTTTTAGGAGGAAACTGTGATATTTTTATTTTCTTTTAATTTTTTCTTTTTTTAAACCCTTTACCCTAAATTTTTACTTTCAGCACTTGGAGATGAGTAAGTTACGGACAAATAAAACAGCGATGATATTGGGTGTAGATTCTCAGCCTCTGTCTGAAAGTGCAGTGATGGAAATGCCATATTTTCCTCTTAAAGGAGACTGATGGAAAAGGTAACAATGTATTCTTTTAAAGTAGGAAAATATACCATATCTAAATATACAGGGCAGTCTCATCAGTCTCTAATAAGCATTCCTGATATAAATAAATTATGTGTAATATATAAATATAAAATCTATAATTAGATATATTACATACATGGTAAGAAAAATAGAGAACACAAATACATAAAGAAATTTGATGCATTCATGATAAAGATTGTAGAATTTAAATATCTTTCTCATTTTCCTATAGAGTTCTAAACAACTAATGCCAATACTTCATTGAGTTTCCAATAGTATCTCTCTCTCCCTTGTCTTTGTCTACAAAAAAAGGAGAGAAAGAATAAGTGTGACTCTACGAGGAAATCACAACAAAAATTCCTATAAAACACATTGTCAGAGTCAATTTTAACTCACAGGGTAGAGTAGAACTCTGAGAAGTGTCTAAAGGCTTTACATAAACCAAGAGCTACGTCTTTCTACAAAGATTAGAGTAGTAGGTTTCAATATGTGACTTTTCCAGTTATCAGCCCAGTACTTAAACGTTGCTTCACTTAGGCTCCTTAACAATTAGTTCTAAATACAAAAGCATTTCTGTGTATGAAGATATACTAAACAGATTATTTATTCTGAATCAGTCCCATACACCAGTGAAAATATATTCTAGCTAAGATAAAAAATAATAAAAGCATAGCAATTAAATTATTAAACAATCTGTTTCTATGCCCCAAGTTATTAAGCAGTGCAATGTTTCTCTTCTACAAATAGTGTTTCCATAGGGCTACTAAGAGCTCTGTGTCCTAGTGGTAAGGAACTGTTCTGCCAACACAAAAGCATGAGGTTCAAATCCATAAGCTACTCTGTTCCAGAAAGATGGATACGTTATTCTTGTGGGAAACAGACCAATAGAGGAAAGATCCATTTCTCTCTACTGCATGTCTTGTCAATGTAAGTATCTTTAAGTCGCTACAGTCTTTTTATTTAAAGTTTTCAGATTAAAATCTTTAAAAGACAATTCTTACTTGAAAGCAAAGATATAAAAGAGTAAATTTATTACTAAAATATTTACACAGTTTCTATTTTTTATTTTTGTGATAATTTTATAATTAAAAAATTATCTTTATTCTTTTTTTATTAAGAAAATCTCCTTCTGTAAGTTATATGACATCAAAGGAATGTGAATGTGGTAAATATATAAGGTAATTTTTGTGAATATTACTCATTTTCACCATATTTTAGCAAATAAGCATTCATAATATTGATGAATATATATATACTATATTTTATTAGTAACATTAGTAAACATACATAGTATATTTAATAAACATTCATTTCAACTGTGTTGTAAAAGCAAGATAAGTCATTGTAAATAAGTTGATTACTCACCTAACGAAACTATTAGTGAGGCTTAAACTCCATTGAATTCCACTGGACTTAAAATGAAATTGTATTCTGTTTTCATAAATACTAAATAAGAAGGAACACTGCAATGCTAAAGGCTCACCCTTGGAATCCACCAGGTACTCCACAGAATAAGGATGTGCAATCTCCTCCCATGTCATTTACTGCCTCTGAAAATCTGTCGGAGAGTCAGCTATGTACTGGTTTTGACCTGACAGTATTCAACAACAACAAATGCAAAGTACGTTATACTTGCAATATTTTTGTGATGATAGCATTAGAAATCTAAGTACATAAAAAGCAGTGTTGAAAACAGAAATATTCAAAGACATCCATTTTCCCTTAAAATCAGGGTCAATGAGCTAAGGAGTTTTAAAAGCCCGCAGAAGTCTCTATGGCAGAATTTCAGGCCATTTTACAATTCTACCTAAATATCCTCAGAGAAAATGTCTCCTGTGTGCCTATCTATTCCCTCATGTAGGTTACACCACAATTATGCCATTGTCCTTCAAGTCCCCCAATTATTTTAGTTTACTCCCAAGGAAATAAACAAAAAATATCAATCATGGATCATCTCTAGTTGACTCCTTCCTGAGAACTGCAGTACAACTACAGTTAAACCCAAGAGCAAAATTTAATTGGATTTTCTTTTGAGCTTCACCATTTAATAGTGGCCTCATATAGATCACTTTTATTTGCTTTTTTCTGTATCTAAAAATATTATAAAGTTTATACAACCTCTATATAATTAATTCCAGACAGGAAGGAACATGAAACTGAACATGGTAGATGGGAAGTGATCAGTTTGTATATTAGTTTATTGATAACATCATGTGTGTTATTATGTCTTACGAGTTTAAAATTGATTGATGAATGTAAATTACTTAGATAATACCAAACAATAAGGGTATCACAACATGGGAATGAAATTTTTAATATTATAAATAGTATGGTTGGTAGTATGAATTGAACTAGAAGATATTATTTACTTTTTTTTACTTAATTTTCTCAAATTAAATAAAACTTAAAAGTGCAGATCTGTAGATGAAAATCATGTTATCTTTAATGAGTTACATGTGTGAAAACATTAACTGAATATTGGATTTCTGTCTCTATTATGCACACACAAACACACCCACACATAAATACATATATACACATACGTTTAAACTTGAAAACATACGTCAAACATGGGTATTTACTTATATGCTTACATAATGGTACACAGTTCAATAAAGTTCACTAAAGTGTTACAATGCCCAAGTGATCACTGTGTATATGTACACATATTGGAGAGACTGGCACTCTTACTCACTGACGGTGGGAATGTAAAATGGTACCATCATTTTGGAAAGCAGTCTAGCACTTTCGCAAAATGCTATAGATAAAATATCATTTGACACAGCTAGCTCAGTACTGGGAATATACTCTAAAAAAACCAGAGCCACAGATGTGTGCACAAACATATTTAATGCTGCATTATTCACAATAGTGAAGAGATGGAAGCAA